AGGGGAGATTTTTGGGCAGGCCGGGGAGGTTTTGGGCCGGCCGGGGGGTTTTTGGTGCTGCCGGGGTGTTTTTTTGGGCGGGCAGGGGGGATTTTTGGGCCGGCAGGGGGAGATGTTTTGGCCAGGCAGGGGGAGATTTATTGGCAGGCCGGGGGAGATATATGGGTCAGGCAGGGGAGTTATATGGGCAGGCAGGGGGGGGATTTATGGGCAGGCAGGGGAGATATATGGGCAGGCAGGGGAGGTATATGGGCAGGCAGGGGAGATATATGGGCAGGCAGGGGGAGATATATGGGCAGGCAGGGGGGGATGTATGGGCAGGCAGGGGGAGATATATGGGCAGGCAGGGGAGATATATGGGCAGGCAGGGGAGATATATGGGCAGGCAGGGGAGATATATGGGCAGGCAGGGGGAGATATATGGGCAGGCAGGGGGAGATATATGGGCAGGCAGGGGGAGGTATATGGGCAGGCAGGGGGAGATATATGGGCAGGCAGGGGGAGATATATGGGCAGGCAGGGGGAGATATATGGGCAGGCAGGGGAGATATATGGGCAGGCAGGGGGAGATATATGGGCAGGCAGGGGAGATATATGGGCAGGCAGGGGAGATATATGGGCAGGCAGGGGAGATATATGGGCAGGCAGGGGGAGATATATGGGCAGGCAGGGGGAGATATATGGGCAGGCAGGGGGAGATATATGGGCAGGCAGGGGGAGATATATGGGCAGGCAGGGGAGATATATGGGCAGGCAGGGGGAGATATATGGGCAGGCAGGGGAGATATATGGGCAGGCAGGGGAGATATATGGGCAGGCAGGGGAGATATATGGGCAGACAGGGGAGATATATGGGCAGGCAGGGGAGATATATGGGCAGGCAGGGGGAGATATATGGGCAGGCAGGGGGAGATATATGGGCAGGCAGGGGGAGGTATATGGGCAGGCAGGGGAGATATATGGGCAGGCAGGGGGAGATATATGGGCAGGCAGGGGAGATATATGGGCAGGCAGGGGAGATATATGGGCAGGCAGGGGAGGTATATGGGCAGGCAGGGGGAGATATATGGGCAGGCAGGGGGAGGTATATGGGCAGGCAGGGGGAGGTATATGGGCAGGCAGGGGGAGATATATGGGCAGGCAGGGGGAGATATATGGGCAGGCAGGGGGAGATATATGGGCAGGCAGGGGAGATATATGGGCAGGCAGGGGGAAGTATATGGGCAGGCAGGGGGAGATATATGGGCAGGCAGGGGAGATATAT